TTTAGATTGAAGGGTGGTGCGTTTATAATGGTAACTGAATTATCCAAACCCGATCTTTTCAGACACTTTCTAATGGAGGCATTGACCTCATCAGAAATAAATAGTAGTACAAAAGGAATTTTTCCTTCTATCGAGGTACTACCATGCCTGAGAATCACACTGTCAGAAGAAGTCCTACGTGAACTAGGAAAATTGTAGTGGCCATTAGACCAAGCTATATCGCGTGCCATTTTAAGCGACTCTTTGGAGTTTAGAGCGACCCCATTGGTTCGTGCGTTGTGGAATCCTTTGATGTGGAAGCTCTCTATACAAATGTTAGCAATGGGTCTGCTATGGAACCTATATTCAAGCTTCTTGGTCAGCACCAGAACGATATTAGTATGCGAACCCGATGACACTCGTGAAAGAGTGCCTCAGTTGTAACATTTTCAAGTGGTCGGAAAGGTATTTCGCACAGACTAGAGGCTTAGCTATGGAGCAGCGATTGGCGCCGGTTTTGGCCATATCGTTTATGGCCAAGAAGTGGATGTGTGTTTCGGCCTGCTGAATTCACAATCAGAGCACATCATGTTAACACGGGAAAAACCGACCAAAATTGACTTCCGTTCTTGAACGTTCAAGTGAGGTTACATGGCGATATGTTTGTTACGAAGTGGTACAGAAAGCCGAGCCTTAAGGATAGTAATGTCCATTATCATTAAGCTCATCTTTTTCATGTGAAACGAGCGCTCGTTAGGAATATGTTTCGCACTGCTTAGAAGGTCTGCACTGGAGAGGATGAGCGAAAAGAGTCGCTTAAGATGGCACGCGATATAGCTAGGTCTAATGGCTTCCACAATTTTCCAAATTCACGTAGGACTTCCTCTGGCGCTGTAATTCTCAGACATGGTAGTACCTCGATTGAAGGAAAAATTCCTTTTGTACTACCATTTATTTCTTATGAGGTCAATGCCTCCATTAGAAAGTGTCTGAAAAGATCGGGTTTGGAAAACTTAGTTACCATTATAAACGCACCACCCTTCAATCTAAAGAAGTGCCTGGTTTGAAACAGGCTATACGATCGCCTATGTACTACGTCGAACTGTGTGGCTTGTCCACCAGGAAGGGAGGGTGATTATAATGTGTCTACAAAATTACTTGCCGTGATTGTGGTGACGAGAATATTGAAGAAACGG